ATCAATGAAAATATTTTAGAGTGTTTTGGTGGCAATCTGAGGACAGTGCAGAGGATGCTGTGTCCCCAAATGATGTATCAAGAGTGATGAAAACCAAATATCCAGTCAACATCATGGCATTTGGAGTAATCTGTAGTGATGGTGACGTTATGCCTCCATTAATCTTCCCACAGGGCCTCACTCAACACAAAGTCCTATATCAAGCACCTTGAGGAGGTGGATCAAGAGGGTGGATACTGGAAAAACCTGTGTCTGGCAACAGGACTCTGCACCATGGCACACAAGAATGAGAACCCAGTCATGGCTCTCAGACAATTTCTGCAACCTCATCAACCCTTACATCTAGCCACCTAACTCCCTAAACTATAACCCCCTTGATTATAATGTTTGGAGTGCAGTTGAACGAGATACCAACAAAACTCTTTGTAACACCAAAGATAAACTGAAGGCAAGGATTATGGCAGCATTCACCAACTTAAACAAGGAGACTGTCCAGAAGGAATCTAGGAGATTTTGAAGTTGTCTGGAAGCCGTAGTTGAAGCCAATGGGGATTTTATTGAATAAATTTACTCTTTAGTATTTCAAGATATTTCAGTGTAATTTTGCTAAATATATTTGTTAAAATGAGATATCAGTGTCATTTTCTTTTTTACGTAATTTAGTTGACAATTTATCCATTGCACCTTTATATACATGTATAAGAAAACATTTAAGCATGAAACAGACTATCACCACTATCTATCTATCTATCTATCTATCTATCTATCTATCTATCTATCTATCTTTGTTCCTATCTATCTACAAAGTATAGGCAATGAAAAAAATTCTGTTTGACTAACCCTGATAGCTTCTAAATCAGTTAAGGTGACTATAGGGAATGGTTTACCCAAATATTTGCTTTTCACTTATCATATTTACCATCACCCCCAAAATATGCTAGTAATAATACTTTCATGTTAAAAAAAAATCTGATACCATAACAGAGTGCAGGGAAACGTGTTTTCATGCTTTTCCCAAAGCTAGCACTACATGGATATAAACAGTTTCAACAGAATTTTGAACCCAGTTTGTGATTTTTCTTACCACATAGGTGATTGACATACATGTACTGATATATATATATATATATATATATATATATATATATATATATATATATATATATATATATATATATACATATATATATAAATAAAGATATATAGATACAAATATAATGTGTACATTTATAAGTATGTTTCTTTTATCAGTGAATGCATCTTGTATAGTTGGAGGATAATTATTGATAGCACATTATTAACAATGCACCCAGTTTCACCTGGCTATTCATTGTATTCATGTCACCTTTTGTGCAAGGTAAGTGAAGGAAAGAGGGTAAGTGGAAGTAAATTCAATGGTCTGTTTCATTCTTCCCTGCAATTCTCTCTCCCCACACCACGATTAGCATCAAGTAACACAAAGACTAATGCACAAGATGGCTGAGGGCAGAATCTTGCATTTACCACCCTCGCCATAACTTATATATATATACAGGGATATACTCACCCACTTATAACTAAACATGAATACAAGGGACTGGCTATACAAATAAGTAACACACATACACACATACATATATATGAGCATGCACACACACACATACACACACACTTATACATATTCCTCACCAGTAGCATAACTTGGAGTTTCATGCACAACACAATCTTCAGGTACTGAGTAGAGACTGACCGTTACATAATTTGAATTTTAATAAAAATATTTGTTTAACACAATGCTGGTGCAGTCCATATATTATAGAGGGGATACTGGTTCTTATTTTAAATAAATGTATTTATAATAGACAGGATTTGTATTTTATATTTAAAATAAAGAAGGATTAATTTTTTATTTTATATTTAAAATAAACAGGGATTAATGGTATTTTAAAAGATATATTAAAATAGATTAACCTAAAACAATAAAAAAAATTATTTAAAATAGATGTGATTTATATTTTATATTAAACATAAAAGGGATTGCTATATTTTATTAAAACAATATTGTATATAAACAAACCTAAAACTACAAAAAATTATTTTGTATTTAAAAACCTATTTTAAATACAAGATGAATATTTTATATTTAAGATAGGTGGGATTTATGTTTTATATTTAAATTAAATGGGGATTATGTATGTATGTATGTATATGTGTGTGTGTGTGTGTGTGTGTGCGTGCATACTGTTTTCACTTTTGGAACTTATAAAGAATATAGTAATTATTTTACTTATATCAGTTGGCCAAGTAATTACGCCAAGAGAAAATCATCCAATTACAAAACCTTTCTCAATGAATAATATGAATGACAAATAAATCAGAGAATAGGGAGAATTGGATTCTTGCCTTCTTTCAAACCATAAAGATCAAATAATTTGAGAAGTTAATTTTGTTCCTTGGCTTCATTCTTCCAAGTTAATAATAATCAAATTGGTTTGCATTTTTTAGCGACGGTTTGTTTATGTGCTTCCTAGAAATCTGTCATCTCTTTAAATCCCTTTTGACTGTCATATAAGCAATAATTTCAATTCTTTAAATTTATTAATAACTTTTCTGAAAAAATAGCTGACTTTAAAATAACAAATTTTTCTTTTCTTTGCTCTCTATTTTGTCTGCTATGGAATTGCATGTATTTTGGCAGATAGCCACCAGCAGAACAGGAATTTGTGCAATATCAGTGCCAAATACTTGGTGCATTTATAAATACCAACACCAACATAAATATTCATATATAAACATGAATAAAGGTTGAAAATGTTTTAGAAAATCCTAATTACTAATCACCAAAAAGAAATAAAACCAAAGTAATTGTTTTTAATCTTGGTTCATTTTCAGGATATGTATCTCAAGATAAAAAAAAAAAGAGGAAAGTCATTTCAAAAAACAGATAATCAATAATTGTATGAAAAACCAGAAACATGTCATTGATTTTGATTGATTGATTTTGATTGATTGATTTTGATCAGGTGTCAGCCTTGGAATATCAGGACAACATAGAAAGAAAAATTAAAATATTCACAATCAATTTCTTTTTCCAGTTAGCTAATCAAATATTGTTAAATTTCAAGAATGGTTTCACAAGCGGCTTTAAGCTTTACATTTGTGTGATTTTGTTTCATTAGATAAACAATTATATAAAAACTTGTATATAAATATAAATTCACAGACATATCTATATATATATATATATATATATATAAATAGTCACTCACACATATGTGTTTGTATGTAAAAACACATTCATTTGTTTTGTTAGTTTCCATATACAAGTATAGGCACTTGTTTCTCTGTATATAATTGAAAATATCTTTTTTATGAAGCAGGGAGGACCCCAATATATATATATATATATATATATATATATATATATATATATAGAAAAATATATATCGTTATCTGATATATATATATATATATGTGGTGAGAAACAAAAAACACCTGTCTACAAATTTCCAGAGAGACCATTGAAAGTAGAAGACAAAGCCCTGAACAGTGGAACTTTAGATGATGAAATCATGCATCAGATTGCTAAGGCTACCAGTGCTTTCAGCAAACTTCGCCATCACTTGTGGAATAAGCAGGGTATTTGACTCAATATGAAAATTTGGGTTTACAGAGCTGTTGTACTTGCTATGCTTTAGTATGGCTCAGAGTTGTGGACTTCATACAGATATCATATATGCCAGCTAGATGTTTTCCTTAAAAGCTGTCTGCATGCAATCTGTGGAGTTAACCCTCAAGATAGGACATCTAATGTAGACCTGTTTAACAGGTGTAATATTGGAGGAATTGAGACTTTTCTCATACAGTCTCAGTTACGGTGGACTGGTCATGTCTTGAGAATGTCTGATGACAGGATACCCAAGATCCTAATGTACAGCCATTTAGATCAGGGCTACAGGAATGTAGGACGCCCATGGCTAAGATACAAAGACAAGCTGAAAAGCAGCTTGTCAGCAGTCAATATTCCACATAACACCCTTGAGCACTTAGCCTTGGAGCAGGTAGAATAGAGACCAACGTGCTATAGTGGACTCAGCAGATCTAAAAGGTCAGCCAATCTAACAGTGATTTCATCTCACAATCTTCACATTTGCTCCATATGTGGTCTCCTTTATAAATCATTAGCGGGTCTTAAATACTACTTAAGATTATCGCACAAAATTTCATAACTGAATCGACTAAGCTGTCAGATCCTCATACGTCAAAACTGATGGGAGAGTCCATTATATATATATATATATATATATATATGATAAAAATATAGTTTTAAGAGTAAAAATGTTCAATATCAAAGATTGAGTGTATGTAAATATAAAAGTAGACCTCAAGGTCGGTCTCCTCAGGCCGATGATATCAAGACGTCACCTTCTTGGCAAATTAACGATGATAGATTTGAACCAATGTCCCATGGTCAGAACACTAATGTTCTAATCACTCAGCCATGCATCCATATATATATATATATATATATATATATATAGATAATATTAGTGGAAAATATACATACATATGAAAAATATATCTAAAAAAATTTCCATACATGTATATTTTCAGAAAAAATTTTTCCAAGAGGAAGGATCCAGGTAGAACTCAATGTCTAGGACAGAGTAAGGATATAATAAAAAGGCTTAAACACTAATATTCCATGGTCATATATATATATATATGGATACATGGATTACTTCTGTCATGATGGTGATTAGCTCCTATATAAAGCTCACCCACAATTTGCTAACCATCTCCAGGTTGATTGAGATTCTGAGTTATGCTTCTCCTATATTGGTTGCAAACTAAGGATAAAAGGCACAGCCTGTCCTGCTATTTACCCATAGCTGGGAGGAGAAGTGATGGGTATATTCCCAAGGGTATTTGCATGTAAGTGAACATTGACTTGAATTTGAATTTGACTCTCCAATTTCTTATTCTGAGCTATTATCTGTTCCACCACTTGCACATCCATGCTTACAGCACCAGATGTTCCTAAGCAGTTACCCATCTAGGTACTAACCAGGCACAAAATTGCTTAACTTCAGTGATCAGGGAAGTACTGATGTTTCAATGTGATAATGACTGTTAAATATTTGTGTTTGCATGTGTTTTTCTCTCTCTCTCTGTCACTCTCTATCTATCTCTATCTATCTATCCCTATCTATCTATCTACAAATATTTAATCCAGTGGTTCCTAAATGGTGCTGCACACTTCATAGGTGCAGTGGAGGACAACAGCAAGTGAGGCAGAGTGATTGAATAACATTCAAAGATTTAGAAACAGTTTCAAAAAGTTGATATGCCAAAAATAAATTTCAAAATTTTAAATATTATTATGGATTCCTTGTAATTGCATGCAGGAGTCCCAGTATAAATAGTTTTAAATAATTGCTGATTGATTTTATCATTGTGATATTTTTGCATTATATCAAGTATTAAGAATATAGTAACTAGGCTCTGCAAATTAGAGGAGAGAGTTATCAATGATAAAGTTCTAGTTTTGAATCTACAGTTATCTCCCTTTAACCATCTCTTTGTTTTTTATTTTTAATTGTACTTCTTATAACATAAAATTTGGTGAGGTGTGAATAAATTTTCATTCATCCAGAAAAAAAAAAAGTTTGGGAATCATTGCCTTAATATTTGTAAATTAAGAATAAATATATTTTGGGACAGGATTAGGATTAATGTTTTAAATAATTTCCTTTAAAAGATATTTTTAATATCCATACTTTTTTACATCAGTGTCAGTGCTTTTTCAATTACCAAATTCATCATTCTCATTCCAATGAATAAAAAACCTGTCCCTATCGTGGATCCTTAAAAGGCTGTGTGCCAAATGAAAATGTCAAAGATCTTAAGACAGACTGATGGTTGGTTTGATAAATATAAATACCAGACATATCAGTGACAGATTCGATTCTGAAAGAACCTTCAGTTCTTTGGTTTGGCAAAAGTGCAACAGCCAAAATTGACTTAAGCTGTGTGTCTATGATAGTACATTAATAATTTTGTAACCTTAGTTAGTTAAGATTATTTAAAATTATAACTTTGACTGATTTTTATGCTTGATGGAGAAGCATTAGGTGAAGTGCATTCAATGGTGGACTGGGTTGAAAATTTTTATGGGGAAACCTTGTAAAAGTGCTTAGTCAAAAGGATCCACTTAATCCCGAAACATAGCAAAAGAAATCAAATAAAAGCAAAGTTTTTAGGTAAATAAAATGTAACATCTTTTCAATATTGTTTTATTTCTTTATGTTAAATAAATATATTTTATATGTTAACCAAAACAAAATTAAAAAAATATCCTTAAAAATGAAAAAAAAAATTCATCAAACAAGGAACTGAGCATATCTATTATTTACCGAAAGAAATTCCAGCATCAAAGAAGCCTTATTTAAATCTTTCCAACATTTAAGCAATATTTTTTTTGTGTGTGTTTTTATTTTTATTGGTTATTTCTAAAGTCATCTCTTTGGAGCCCACAAGGAAATTTCCTGTTATCCTGGTGGACCTGTCTACTACTAAATGTATTGATAAGTAAAGGAGATTATGTTGAAAATTAAATAGTTTATTTATTCTATTTATCATTGTTGGGACTGTTGTCCTCATTGTTATTGTCATATTCACAACACATTAGACATTTGTGCATTCTGGGTTTCTTCAAGTGATATACTCTGGAATTTCAAACCAAATTCTTTATCTCCAGAAACCAGAAAAGGCAATGCATGTGGAACTAGAAAAATCTAACCTGGTGGACAAAATAAAGTGTTCGGTTATGTAGATATTGTAAATAGTTGCAATACTTCATTTCAGAAATATGGACAGAAGTAAATAGTTTGTGTAAAATGATTTGAGGCATGATGGAGTAATGGATAGTGGTTCGGATTGAGGAATCAGAAAGTTGAGTTTGAATTCCAGACAAGTTCATTACATTCACTTATGTGCTAATACCCTTGGGAAAAGTATGAATCCTCTTCTTCTCCCACCAGCTATGGGTAAATAGCAGGAAAGACTGGGTTCTATGGCAACTGGTCTACTGCAGAAAGAAATGGCAACCTACTGTGAGAAAAAATCTGCCTTGTCAGCCATGTATTGAAAGATACATGACTACCTAAGCATGTATCACACATGGTATATAACTGACTGAAAATAATTTAGTACATCATTGTTATGTATTTATTGATGTACTTATATAAATATACAGATATACGTGTACAAAATTATATTAATTTATGCATATATATGTTAACAGAATACATTTTTGTTACTAATACACTTGAGGTTTTCTCCCTGTATGAAAGCTGGCATTGAATCTTTCATGCCAGTAAGGAAATACCAAGTTAACCAAAAATCTTCTCCTTGGTTCACTGCTGCCTATTCAGCCACTATAATCCACTGGAATCACTTCTGGCAATACCAACATGATAGTTCCAGTCATAACAGACACCTCTTTGTATCCACTTGTAATGAGTGTAAGCATGTCCTCAACAAAGCAAAGTCACTACTTATTGATAAACTGAGACATTATATAGTCTCTCAAAAGTTTGGTTCTAGAGATTACTGGCAGTTTGTGAAAGTGTTGAGTAAATGCTGAATCTCTTCTCTCTTTAATTAGTTTGAAGTATTGTTATCAGCTGCTGATAAAGCAGAATGCTTTGCTTGGAAATTCCCTTCCAGCACTACTTTTGATTCCTCAGGAGTATCTTTGCTTGATTCTTTGATTCTTCAGGAGTATCTTTGCTTGATTTTACCCCTAGAATAGAATTTCTACTGAGTGATATGTATATAAATCTATACATGGTTTCAGCTATCATCTGCAAAATAGATCCCCACAATTCTTTTAGTCTTGATGGTATCCCTGCAATTGTTCTAAGGAAATGTGTTCCTGAACTGGTTCCTGTTCTCTCCAAACTCAACAATAAATGCCTTGCTGCTCCTTGTTTTCCAGCTTGTTGGAAATCTGGAAATTCTCTTCTGTAGTTTCTGTCTTTAGGAATTCTGGTGAGGCTGATACCTGTAATTATCATTCTATTGGTCTTTTACTTCTTTTTTTGGCAAAGTAATAGAGGTGCTAGTCTACTCTGAATTGATTAAGCATCTTACTGCTGTCATTAGTTACTAACTAGGTATTTATGCTCATGACACAACTATTTATGCCTGACTAATAGGCCTAACAAAGTAAAGCTAGTATCTGCTTTCAAAAATGACTTCCAATCAGTTGTTAACAGGAACAAGAAATGGTTTGTAAATTTTAATATACCTCTAAAACAAAACTGCTATCCTTTAATCTTTATAGAGAACCATTTTTGCCCTCCATCAGCATGGCTGATGCTAACCACTAGGATAGCAACATAGTGCACTTTCTTGGCCTCATGTTTTTCACTGACATGAAGTGAAGTAATTACATTGAATCAATTGCTTGGTTTGCTGATAAGAAAGTTGGTTCACTGTATCATGTCATGTACATTTATAAATCTACCATTCATCCGTGCATTGAATATTGTTACTCTATTAGGTCTGGTCCTCTGGCTATATATCTATAGATTCTCAGCAAAATCTAAAGATATGTAATATTTTTGACCCTGACCTGGCATCAGTTTTTATCTATAAATATTTTCATGGCAGTTGTTCTAAAGAACTCTCTTCCTTGGTACCTTGATTGTAACCGATAATCACCATGCAGTGTTGATTTCTATGTCCCTGATTTTGAGCAGTCTTTCACTATAAATATACCAAATTTTAAGCAACATATATCTATATATATATGTGTGTGTGTGTGTGTTTGCAATGCACCAAATGAAGGAAATATTTCTATACTTTTATCATAAACAGTATTTGCTTGTCATTAGAACTGTTTGTGAATATTCCTATGTTTTAGTCTAGTTTTTTTCCCCTTATTCAAATCGTTCACTACAGTTTCTATTTATGTGATATTTACCTATGTTACCTTGTGGAGAATTCTCAGTGAGTAATGATCGTTTCATGCATTTTGATACAATGTTTGTTTACCATTCTAGTTTTTCATTTTCACTGATAGTTTAAATAACAATTTCTCTGATCGATAATGTTTTTGTTGATATTGATTTTTCCAAGAGCTGCATTTTTCATTAGTATGCCTTTGAAGAGTTTGCTAGATACGTACTTCATTGTTGTCCTATTTTATGGCTGCATGGTCAGCCCATCATGGATGAATGTGGTAGTTTTTCTAATATATTCTAATATGGATAGAAACTATCATTAGACTATTTAAATTGGTAAACTGAATTGGTTGCTTTCTTCTTCCTGTCTTTATCAATATTAAATTGGAGAACATAGTTTATTTCACACCAGTATATAATCTCTTTGTTCCATTCGACAGTGAATATGTGAATTCCTGCTTGTCTGTTGCATATTATTCATGCATTTATTACAGACTTACTTGCTGTTGTGTCAAGCAACAGATGAAAGAGTAGAGTCTACATTTACAGAAATAACATCAGTGTTCTTTTGAAAGATTTTACTTAGCAAAGGTATGAAGAAAGGTTATCCAAATAAAGCAACTGTTTCATTGTGTTGATGATGTCCACTGACAATCAGTGAGTTGGGATGAAACAATTTTCAGCTCATGAAATATAATCTGTTAACTGATTCTGACCGAAAATGCTTCCACTCATTTTGTACAATGTTTTTTGAAAAAAAAACATGAATTTGCTTCATGCTGTTCACCATTACATTGTTAGCTATAACAGAAAAGTCCTTGTCACTGGTATATCACAATGGCTGATGGAGAATAAATCTTAGAGAGGCCAGGAATTTTCCTTGCTGTTCATATCATGCTTGTTTGCTTTTGTTTTTGTTTTCTTATTGCTTATCAACCTTTTGTGGGTAATTTAAAGCCAGAAAATATTAAACAATTGTCAGGCAATCAATAGGCTGATGATTCAGTCTAAGCATGAAACAGACTGTCACCACAGGGTGTTAACCTCAATGTCCACTTTTATATTTACATACACTCTATCCCTGACATTGAGCACTTTAACCCATTAATATAGCGTACCTTCAAACTATATTTTTATCATATATATA